GGCAGAATGCATTTCTTGCTAGTAATAATAGTCAAAACTTAGATAATCTAAATCTGTATTTTGAATACTTAATAAGAATAATCAAGAGACAGAAGATATATTTTAGTACCTTCCAAATTATTGAAGATGCTCTATAATTACAATACCTAACATTTATTGAAACTTAGCATGTAATAGAAATTATGCTAAATGCTTTACATGAAATTTTACTGAATCCTTGTAATAACCCACTTTATAGAAGAAAATGAGGTTCAGAAAAGTTAAGTATCTTGTCTGAGAAGCTTATTTACATAGTTTTAAAGTTGTTTCCCCTACACATTTATAAGTTACAATATAAAAAAAAATAGTACCTTTACAATAGAGAAACCTGATACCTCCTTAATCAAATGATCAAAGTTAATACCACCAGTAGTAAGAAACATCAGTATCATGAATCCTCTGCTATAATGCACTGAGAAGAACACATCAACATTTTTGTGGTATTCTTGTAAAAAATGCATAACCTCAATCTAATTATGGAAAACATCAAATCTAAAGTGAGAGATAATCTATAAAATAACTGACCAGTACTCTTCAGAAGAGCCAAAGTCATGGGATGGATGGACGGATGGACGGATAGATAGACAAACAGACAGATAAATACAGACTGGAGAAAACATGACAAATAAACGCAAAAAAAGAACACTGGTGGGAAAACTGTAAAATTTGAGATGAATCTGTAGTTAACAGTACGGTACCATTGTATACAATCATACAATAGTGAATTTGAAAATTTTACAATGGCTATACCTAAGATGTTAACATAAGGGGAAGCTAGAGGAAGTATGGGAACTCTTGGAACTATTTTTGCAACTTTTCTGTAAATCTAGATTTTATTCAAACTGAATTTTTAAAAAATCATAATTCTTGCATAAGGGGAAGGGAAGAGAAGGGAAGGGAAGGGAGGGAAGGAAGAAAGAAAAGCTAAGTAACTTGCCCAAGGTCACCCAGCCAGTAACTGGGGAGAGCCTGGTTTTGACCTCAGGCAGTCTGAGTCCTTCACTGTATGAAGGACAGAAATAAAAGGAAACTCTTTGCATCTCTAATCATTAGAGAAATGCAAATCAAAACCACAATGAGATATCACCTAACCCAGTGAGATTGGCCTCTATCAAAAAATCCCAAAACAACAAATGCTGGTGAGGATGTAGAGAGACAGGAACACTCTTACACTGCTGGTGGGACTGCAAATTAGTGCAACCTCTGTGGAAAAGAATTTGAAGATGCCTCAAAGAGCTAAAAATAGAAATACCATTCGATCCAGCAGTAGCACTATTAGGCATCTACCCAAAAGAGCAAAGTACATTCTATAATAAAGACGTCTGCACCCAAATGTTTATGGCAGCACAATTCACTATTGCAAGGATGTGGAAACAACCCAAATGACCATCAATTCATGAGTGGATTATTAAACTTTGGTATATGTATACCATGGAATACTACTCAGTTATTAGAAATGACAGTGATCTAGCACCTCTTATATTTTCCTGGATTGAACTTAAGCCCATTATCCAAAGTGAGGTATCACAAGATCGGAAGAACGGGCTCCACTTGTACTCGCCATCAAATTGGCACTAACTGATTAACACTATGGTGCTCACATGGCAGTAATATTCTCCAGGGATTAGGGGGATGGGGGGTAAACTCACAACTGAAGGACAAGGTGAGCATTGTAGAGGGGAAGAGCATGCCTCTAACCCTCGCTTGGGTGAGGCAAAGACATAAAATGTAATCAAAACGTTTGTACCTTCATAATACCCTGAAATAAAAATTAAAAAAAAAAAAAAGGAAACTCTTACCTAACTTAAGTAGAGGGATGTTGCCTTGATACCCTAATTTAATTTTCCAAAAAACGACTTTGCCACATATGGTTTAACCTACATTAAACCACATTCACTAAAAGTGAATATATCCATTTCTTTAAAAAATAATAAAATATTATGTAAAATAAAGTTTAGAGTTTGTGCTATTGTGGTCTATTTTTAAGATCAGTAACTCATATAATATAAATAAGAAATCATATGATCAGACTACCTAATTAATCAAACCACTGCATTTCCCCAAAATTTTATGTTGCCAATAAATTGATGTTAAAATGTTGGTGGTAAGTATGCATAAGCATTATTTTCAGATAATGAAGTAAATTGAATTCCCTTGGAAAACAAAAACAAAACCAGAGTAACACACACACACTAAAACAAGATAAAACAGGCAAGTAAAAGTCCCACAATAAAATATTCCTTATTTCTCTGAAGTAAAAGTTATGGCACCAATTACCTTTACAGTTGTGCTAAAATGAGAAGTTTTTACTTCTCTCAAAAACACCTAGATATCTTATTGAGGACTTTTCCTGATCATATTAATTTTCAGGGGAAATCACTAAATATTAAGAGTCCAGCTTTTTAAAATGCTATTCATATTTTCCAGAAATAATGTCTTTTGAAAAATGAGCCAAAATTTTTATAGTTTAAAGGTTGTAAGCAACTTTGAGGATTATCCAATGAGGATAATGACTGCATTGACCCATCATCAAGCAAACTACCTAGAAATGTAGTTACCTAAGAAACATCAAATTAATGTTTCTTGATGTAGTGTAGGCAATATGTTGCACAGCACATTATGAACCACAGAATTTTTTGAAAAATCATAGAGCACTTATACACAGTATGAGGGTTAAATTTAACTTCAAAATAGAAAACATTGGATAGATTCCTGTACAAAGGTATTTATTTAAAATAGTTTAAAAATTATAAACAAATTACTGTTCAATAATAAGTAACTAATTAAATTACTTATGGGAATAAAATTTCATGCCATCATTAAAAGTCTTATTTATAAAGACGGCTTAGTGACATGACAAATACTAGTCTACCACACATACATAAAAATGATAAACAGACCATAATTTTAACAAAATTTGTTTGTATGATAAATTTTAGGTGATTATTCTCTTCCTTATATTTTTCCTTATAGTTTTGCTATACTTTCTACAGTGAACGTTTTTATTATTAAAATAGCGTGTGCCTGTAATCCCAGCTACTTGAGAGGCTGAGGTGGGAGGATCACTTGAGTCTAGAAGTATGTGGCCAGCCTGGGCAACATAGCAAGGCCCTGTCTCTTAAATTCCTATACAGATTCTTTAAAAAAAAACAAATTAATACTGATCTGACACCAATACAAAATCCAAATATGCACACAAATGCCTTTTTATTTATGTCACTAAAGAATAGGATAAAGAAAAATCAATTTTTAAAAAAGTATCACTTACCCTAATAAAATATTATTAAGTTATAACATTAAAACAGACTAGGATCTATATATTTTACTACCTCTGAACCATATGTATATATTTTAAAATAGCTCAAAATTATATATTCTGCTATAAAATAAGTTTAGCACTTGAATTTATCTAAAATAAACCATATCTCCTGAAATATAAATTAATTCAAATTCTTTACAATCTATATCTTGAAACATAGGGGATGTATATATGGGAGGGAGATATATATTCTCAAAAGTACTATAAATGACACCACTAAATTTCTGTGTCACTGTTTTAAAGACAACGTACAATAGTGGTCTACACAGATGCAATCTCTGCAGACATGTACATGTGGAGTGCTAAAATATCGTATTGCTTCATGTAAAACAACAAGAGGTTATGAGAGTTGTATTAATTGGCAGGGGCTTTAGTTGTAATGAGTAAATATTAAGAATTCGATATATCAAAGGCATATGGTTCCTGTTTGTATACCTGCTGAATACCATGACTTTTGGCCTCGAATCCCCAAACTGGGACAGACTTACACAGCACAGAGCACAGGACTTAAGAGCCAGATGTTTGGGGTTGTATCCTGGCTCTGGGTTCCTACTATAGCTTGGGCAAATAACTACCTCTCTGTGCCTCAGTTTCCTCATGGGTAAAATGGAGATAGCACATAGAATTTATCTATTATGTTACGAGGTTTAAAGGAGTTAATGTACATTATGTCTGGCAGAGTAAGTGCTCAAAAAAGATTTGTAGGTATGTAAATACGGATGTAGTATTAAAATGACAACACATTAGCCTCGTAACAAGCATGTCGTTGGTGATCTCTGCTAATAACAGCCTTATATACCAGTGATGTATATCCTCAAATGTTCATTTCAAAGCCTGTGCTTTCTTCCACGTCTTTCTGTGAAACCACTTTGATACTCAACAACATAATACAGGAAGGCAATCTTTGTTACCTGCCTATTGAATCTTCAGTATGCTTCTATAGTCTAAAAAAAAGAGACCAATAAATAAGGTATTGGTGAAATAATGAAGTAAAAACTGGTAGAGAAAATCATCAAGCCCTTGAAAATAGGCCACTAAAGGGCAATTTCCATGATGGCCAAGTGAAGAAAAACTACCAATCATTAAGTATACAGCATCACAATCTCTCAAGTAATAAAGAAAATAATATTTTGGAGAGAAATTTATTGCTATCTCATTTATTCAGAAAGACACACTGACTTTGGGATAAATTAAACACAAAATGGGTAAATTTTGGTATGCAAATTACATTTAATGTTATATCATTATTATTTAATATTTCATTAAAAAAATCTCTGGTAAAGTCAAATTTATTTTGAACAGAAGTAAATGCTAAATAAAGCATTTTAAAACTGTTTTCTAAACAGTTTTAATTAGTCTCTCCTCCTTTAGGTGTTTTAAATATAAATTTTCATACTTCAACTTATAGCAATAGTCTACAGTGCTGTGTGGTTCTTTGTTTAATGGAAACTAGTATGTTTAGGAAAAATCATCTTAAGAAAGACATATACGTATGCACAATGCATACAAATAGATAATAGGGAATAGTAAATATCATTTCCATTATATTTTTGAGTATCTTCTCAAACAAAATAGAGTAATAATGTAATTTTGGTGCTACACACATGAATAGCAACACAGAGATCAAAGTATCCTTGCTTACCATGCCAAACCGCTGCATGTCCATCCCACACAGTTGCCACTGTTTTCCTTGCACCATCCCATAAATTATGAGAGTAGGCTTCTTTTAATACATTCTTTCTCTTATAAATGTGTAAGAAAATAATAGTAAGGTAGAGAAGAAAGATAGTAAAGTAAGGAAGTATTAAAAGTATTAGTGGTGTAAAAACCCACAGGAGATAGTTTGCAAAATTCAAGTAGTCCTCCAATTGCTCCACACCAAACCATTCTTCGAGTATGTGAATCAGACAAGTCATATAGGGCATAGAATCCTGCCCCGCACCACAAGTTTGATTTTTGTCTATCATTTTTCATTAGGTGAAAGTGGCGAATTCAGTCTCTTTCTTCATTGCCATAGCCAGTCTTTAATTTTGACACTAGAAAGGAAAAATAATCCAGTATTATTCTCTTCACAGCTATCAAGTTAAATGTTTTAGTCTACATAAATACTATATTGAGTCATTTTTTTAATATCAAAAATGAGTAGATTGTTAATGGTTAACTTTGCTGCATATTTAAATGTGAAAATTATAAGGTTTCATCTGTCTGCCTCATGAAGCATGTTGTGTTTAGCCTTTGAAATAGCCTTGTTATAATTGAGAAAGGAAAGTAAAGCTATAATTGAGACAGGAAAATAAAGCTGATGAGTAATGAAATTTCAGATTGATCTTAATAATCTGACTCATATCTTAAATGGATCATGTTGAACATTTGGATCTTAAACTAGGTCATGCTGAAATAACTGTTTTACATGAAAGAAAACATTAATATCTGATTCAATAAAAGTAACCCAATTCTTTAGGAAATGATAACATACATTTATGGATATTGTCTTTTATAAAGAAACAGGTTTACAGAAAAGCTGTCTGTTCTTTTAACATTATACAATAAAAACAATTTCTCAGTCTTGTATCTTACAGTCATGAAAATTTAAATCTTAAATGACTGAAAATATAGATGTACAATTATTTCATGAATTCACTCTCTAAAACAGTCATTGACTTACCAGAAATTAAGTAAATATCTTGTCCCACACTTCAATGTATGTATTCTGGAAAACACAGTAAACAAATGTAAGAAATAAATGACTAAAGAAAAAAGATAATCATTATACCTAGAGTTATAATATCTATAAAATAAACAAGAGACATTCGCAAATGTTCAACAAATATGATTATAGCCCCACACTAGTATATTACAATTAAAAATTATACTCATGCTACCGCTGCTTTAGTGAGGAAAACTCTACACTGTTTAGTGCCACTGTATAAAGCCTCGCCTAAAATAAAACTTTTTAACAGTGCTATAAAAAGCTTTGCTTGTTGGGAGAAAAAGTATGAAATTAAGATGTGTAATTGACTATGTTTCTTTTTAGTAACTTTGCTAGATAAGCTGACAGTCAAACATGATAATCAACAACACAATTATATTAGCCCTGTGATATTTTTCTATGTAAAGTTTCCTTGACTTCCTTTTTCCATTCATATTTTCTCTGGTTCTGATCCTATTCTTCGAGCTATTTTATCATTATTCCAGAATATATAATCTTAATGAAAATCATCTCAAATCTTTAGTGGCTGAGGCAAGAAATGAATAAATGAAAGAAAGGGATGGGGGAGAGGAAAAGATATACACATAAGAGCAATTAAACGTTTTTATGCCAAGGTTATCTTGCTAACTGGCTTATTAGCAGGACATACTCTCTGACTTATTCTTCCAATGATGGAAGATTTAGTCTAATTTCCTTGTAACCAAAAGCATTTACTTGTGAGAAATCTGGGCCTGTTACAGTAATAGAAGGTGAACATAGCACATGTTAAACCCACAACCTGGCCTTTATTTATATCATACTCTAATCAACTAATCTAAAGAGTTAACTTACCTGTGTTTGATCATTTAGAATGCAACATAGCAAAATTTAACACTTTTTAAAATTATTATTATAATATTTTTTAGAGATGGCATCTTGCTCTACCACCCAGACTAGAGTGCAGTAGTCCAATCCCACTTCACTGTAACCTCGAACTCCTGGACTCAAGGGATCCTCCCACCTCAGCCTTCTAAGTACCCGAGATTACAGGCACATGCCACCACACCTGGCTAATTTTTAAAATTTTTTGTAGAGTCAGGGTCTTGCTATGTTGCTCAGGCTGGTCTCGCACTCCTGGACTCAAGTGATCCTCCTGCCTTGGCCTCCCAAAATGCTAGGATTATAGGCTGCAAAATTTAACACTTTTTAAAATGAGAGCTTTTCTCACTAGAATGGCTATAACCCCCTAAAAGGGAAAATAATAAATGTTAATTATGATGTAAGGAAATTAGAACTTCATACACTGCTGGTGGGAATATAAAATGGTACAGCTGCTGTGGAAATGAGTTTGGCAGTTCCTCAAAAAGCTAAACACAGAGTTACTGTATGACCCAGCAATTCTACTCCCAGGTATATATCCAACAGTACTGAAAACATATATTCACACAAGTATTTGTACACAGTAGCATTGTTCATAATAGCCAAAAAATGGAAACTGATGAACAAACGAAACGTGGTATATCCATACAATAGAATATCCAGCCACAAAAAGAAATGACCTATTGGTTCAAAGTATAAGAAATTAATATATAAACCTTGAAAACATTATGCTAAGTGAAAAAAGCCAGACACAAAAAGCCACATATTGTATGATTCCATTTATATGAAATACTCAGAATAAGTAAATCTATAGAGACAGAAAGCTTGGTGGTTACCAGGGCTGGGAGAGGGTAAAATGAGGAGTGACTACTAATAGAAATAGAGGTATCCTTGGATGATGACAATGTTCTGGAATTAAATAGTATTGATGGCTGTATAACCTTGTAAATATAATAAAAACCACTGAGCCATATACTTTAAAATGGTGAATGTTATGATGAATTATATCTCAATAAAAGAGGTTTTCAATATTGTTAATAAATTAACAAAATTTATGATAACCTCTCATATACGTTAAAAGGAGTTTTTCCTAGGCCCAATAACCAATCAACACTTTGATGATCTAACCCTAACTGCTTAATACAATTACCCAGAATAATCTAGTCCTCATTTCAATTTTTAATAGGATTGTAAAATCTTGTGATTTTAAAACTTTATGTAGTATCTCCCCAAACTGGCAATAGAATTAGACCTCTCATCTTCCTAATCTACATTCTGATTTATTATACATACTTAATGAACACAGTAAAGGGAAGAGGGTCAGAGCACAGGCAGAGATCCAGTGAGAGAAGCTACCCAGAAACCTGTGAGACTCAGTAGTCCCTTAATAGTGCCACGTGCAAGAACCTCCTCCAAAATGGTCATTCAACCTTGATTTTGATTTAAATTCTTCCAGCACAGAAAACTCAAAAGGTGTCCCATTCCATCTTCAAAATCATCCATCAAACTACTAAAAAGGTCTTCCTCATACTTATCTCTCTGTAACTTTTCCCTACTGGACCTAATTTTGCACCATAGAATCTCTTCCATTAAACAACCTGTTAAATTTCAGAACAGCCATCATGAGCTGCAAAATCCCTTTTTCTAGTAAGAACCCTTAATTCTTTCAACCACTCCCCAGACCTTGGTTTTTTAACCTTTCACCACTCCGGTCACTCCCTGTGACTGGCTCGTTATTTGATCTAGAGGTCCATGTACTGTACTCCCTGTGCCTCAGTTTGCTAAGATCTGTAAAACTGGGATAATAATCCTATCTACGCCATAGGAGTATTACTCTGATTGAATGGGCTAATCTGTGTAAGTGCCTAGAACAATGCCCAACATGTAATAGGTGCTACATGTTTGCTATCACTATTGTAATAACCAAATTTAAGATCACAGTAGGTTTTCGAGTAGTTCTATCATGCTGTTAACTCATATTCAGTCAAAAATACGCTACTATTTTCCACGTCTCTACAAACTGTACTTGAAAAACACTTCTTTGAGCCCAGCAAAAATTACACACCTTATCCTTATTAACTTTCACATTCTAAGTCTGGTCCCCAACCTTAATGGCACCAGGGACCGGTTTCATGGAAGACAATTTTTCCACAGCCAGTAGAGGGTAGAGGGGGTGGAGGCAGAGCTCTGGCGGTGATGCAAGCAATGGGGAGCAGCTGCCGACAGGTTCCTAACAGGCTGTGGACCAGTCCGCAGGCCTAAACTATTGATACAGTTTGCCATCTTAACAGTAGCTTGTTTATGCCAGCAGCAAAGAAACCTGGAGAGCGTCTGTCAATGAAATCGCCAAAGGTGTTTTCCACAGCTTGTTGAGAATTGAATAGTTTTCCTTGCAGGAAGTGGTCCAAAGCATGGAAGAAGTGGTCGTCAGTTGGTGCAGGGTCTGGTGAATACAGTGGATAAAAGAGATTCCAAGTCCAGCTTCTGTAGCTTGAGCAGCGTTGTCTTACAAGAAGATTGGCCTGTCTCTATTGACCAATCTTGGCTGCTTAATTGCAAGGAGCCTCATCATTTTGTCTAATTGGTTGCAGTAGACATCTGCTGTAATCAACTGACCAGTTTTCATGAAGCTATAGTGGATAATACTGGTGCTGCACCACAAGACACCATTAGCTTTTTTTGATGAATATTCGGTTTTGGACTGTTTTTTTGGCACTTCATCTTTATACAACCATTGTGCCAATTGCTTGCGATTGTCAAAAACAATCCATTTTTCATCACATGTAATAATATGGTGTTGAAATGGTTTGCGCTTATGTTGTGACAGCAAAGAAAGGCAAGCTTCGAGATAATTTCTTGTCTGACGCTCATTTAAATCACGGGGAACCCATCTATCCAGCTTCTTTACGTTGCCCATTTGTTTCTATTGGTCCAATATTGTTGGAATAGTAACGTCAAACCTTGCTGCTAATTCACGTATAGGTTGAGATGGATTCACTTCCACTACAGCTTTCAGCTCATCATTATCCACCTTGGTCTCAGGTTGCCCACATGGCTCACTTTCAAGATTAAAATCACCAGAACAGAACTTCTCAAACCATCGATTTACTGTACATTCATTAGCCACATCTTTCCCAAATGCTTTGTTGATATTTCAAGCTATCTGCACTGCAATGGTTACACGATGGAACTCATATTAAAAAATAATATGAATATTTGACATATCGATGGTTTCACAAAAACTGCTCTAAAAAAAATCCGAAAGATAATCACAAGCCAAAACACGTGTTTGAAAGTATGAGGATGTATCTTCACAATTTAAAAAAAGTAAAAAAGAAGTGTCAAAGTGAAATGTCAGCAATATCAACTGTCAAACTTAGTACTTAAGGAAATCAGACATTTCATACTTAACCTAATAGCTTGCTTGTGAAAAGATGGAGTTGTAGGTTGAGGGTGGGATGGAGATCAGGAATTCAGTGTTGAACACATGAGGTTTAAGATGTCCATTGGACATCCAAGTGAAGATGTTAAATAAGCAACTGGGCATCAGCAACATTTAGCAGGAAGGTCAGGGCTGAAAAATAAATCTGGGAATTTGTAGCATACAGACAGTATTTAAAATCATGAAACTAAAGAAGATCCTTTAGGGAGTGAATACAGAGTTTCTAGGACTAAACCTTGAGACACCCAACATTTTAGAACTAGGGAAGACAGTGCGGAGCCAGCATCCTCCTTCTAGGAGTAGCATCCTGGAAGTCAAAGTAAGAAAGTGTTTCACAAAGGAATGCTGGCCTATAAGAGACATAAAAGATTTCAGGAGTTTTGCAGCGCTTTGCCCTAAAGGAATAGTGGGGATAAAAGTGCAGTATGTTCAAGAAAGCATGGGAAGAAATGAACTGAAAACAACATAAACAACTCTTCAGAAGAACACTGCTGCACAAAGGAACAGAGAGACAGGTGGGTCTCTGGATGGGAATGTAGGTCAGTAGTTCACTGCTGTTGCTGCTACTGTTGTTTTAAGATGGAAGAAAATACAGCAGTTTTTAATGCGAATGATAATGCACCAATGACAGAGTGAGAAATGGATGATGCAAGAGAGGAGATAATTATTAGGGCCATGTCTTTGACTATTGATGAAGCCAAAGGGGATAGGATACAGTGTACAATGAAGTGGATGGCCCTAAGAATTCTGTGCCAGACACTATCTAGAACAGATAAATCATCAGTAAATTAAATAGATAATTATCTAAGAAAAACATATGTAAAGCACTTAAAATAACGCCAGGCACATAACAGGCACCTAAGAAACTCTGGCTAAATACAGATCTGAACTGTGTTCATCTAAATCTTTAACAAAAATGTGGATCAAGCCAGGTGTGGTGGTGTGATGGCTTGCACCTGTAATTCCGGCACTTTGGGAGGCTGAGGTGGGAGGATCCCTTGAGACCAGGAGTTTGAGGCCATCCTGGACCACATAGTGAAGCCCCATCTCTACAAAAATTTTCAAAAATTAGCTGGGCGTGATGGCACATGCCTATAGCCCCAGCTATTATACTTGAGAGGAGGCTGAAGCAGGAGGATCACTCAAGCCCAGAAGTTTGAGGTTGCAGCAAGCTATGATCCCGTCACTGCACTCCAGCCTAAGGCAACACAGACAGACTCTGTCTCAAAAAAAAAAAAAAAAAAAAAAAGTGGATGAAGACAGTGTCCCAAAACCTGCTAATACAAAACTATTACAGGAGTTTGAATAACATGCTTTTGAGTTGATAAAATACAGTACTTTTGATAACATGACAAAGTATCTTTAAAACTCAAATGAGTATAACCCCTTAATTGTGCAGATAACAAAAATTAAACACAGAAAGCCAAGTCTACTTGCTCAAAGTTACTAAATTACTAAAGTGAAAAGTCAAGAGCTAAAATTAAAACCTAGTTCTCCTACCTCCTAGTCTGGTTATACTTTCTTTAATATCTTTTTCTCTCCCTCTTTTGACAGAAAGGCTAAAAATATTAAGATTGCAATTTCTGTCTTCCCTTTACTTCTGCCTGACCCCTCTCCTCCTA